TATATATATGTGATGCAAAACTGTAACAAAGTATAATACGAAGTCACATGAGTTAATAAATCTAATATAAATGAGTTTATTTGAGATGTAAACATGTCCTAAATAAAACAATTAGTGATTTTCACAAGGAAACATGGCACATTTGTTGTGTTATCATGGAATGTTACTTTTTTTGTTGTAAACAAATCTGGATTTGGTATTTTCTAACTACAACTAAAACAGTAAAGAAGGAAGTATTTAACTTGCACCTTTTAAGACCATTTGACTACCTTATAATTACTCCTTCGCAGTTGTGTGCATCTGCTAACCAGTCAAATTTATGGGTTTGGCACAGAAGTGAGGTCACTGACGTTTGACCAGCAAAACTGAATCAGTTTGTCTTCGAGTCCAAGTGGACAGTTGTGCCAAATTTGAAGCAATTCCCTCAAGGTGTTCCTGAGATATTGCGTTCGCAAGAATGGGACAAAAGCAAGGTCACAGTAACCTTTGACAACCAAGATCGAATCAGTTCATCTTTGAGACTAAGTGGGCACTTGTGCCAGACTAAAGAAGAATCATCAGTTTTATACTGTGAAATAGTTTTTTTTTCTGGGTCACTGTACCTGAGTAGGTCACATGATGTTTTGATGCAAGGGGATTAGCTATGGCTTCTGATAACAATGCAAAGCTTGTTTTAAAGAAAGAACATGTTATTCAGTTATAGCCATTCTGGTAAATCAAGCTGCCAGTGACGCAGCAGTCTACCTTAACAAAAGTAACGGCTCATATCACACCAAAGCCTTTCTAAGGTATTTCCATTAACCTCTGAAAACTCAAACATTGGAAGTTTGTTTTATAAGTGGGAATGACTGTTTGTGGCTAACTTAACTCATGAAACACGTGAAGTTCTCAGAATGACAATGGGGTTCTTACTCCCTATATGTATGTTGGGTCTTTGTTAAATCTTTTGTAAGCTTCGTAAAACTATAACTAAACAAATGAATGATTCACATGGATTACCATGTCAGCTGAAGGTCTAAATACTCAAAAAGGGATTCTGTTTCAGTGTGTTGGACTTAGTTCCAAGGGTTTATAATGTTCGTGTGAAAAGAGATGATTTATATCATGAAATGCATCAACACATGCATAGAATTGTGAACTGTTTTAAACATCAAATTCAAGAGCCTAGAGTGAATGGCTCTGTCCAGTGTTATAGACTTACTTGTTTGAGTAAAATAACTACCAAAACTGTGAAATGGTATACTCTGAGATGTGTTGTGGTTATTCTGAGGCACAAAATTTACTTAAAGGTACTATCTCAATAATGTGGACAAACTTGTTGTTTCATATGCTTGTTGGAGTGTAAAGATACAGTTGAAGTCAGACATTCACATACAGTTAGGTTGAAACTGAGTTGTTTAACTACTCCACAGATGTCATGTTAAACTCTTGTTTTGGCAAGTTGGTTAGGGCATGTTCTTTATGTGTGATACAAGTAATTTTTCCAATAGTCTATTTACAGATCGACTGTTTCACTTATAATTCATTATATCACTATTCTAGCGGGTCAGAAGTTTACTTACACTTAGTTGACTGTGCCTTTAAAGAGCCTGGAAAATTCCAGACAATACCATGCCTTTATAAGCTTTTGATAAGCTAATTGACATTGTTTGTGGACCTCCACAAGTCTGGTTCATCCTTGGGAGGAATTTTGAAATGTCTGAAGACACCACTTTTATCTGTACAAACAATATTACACAAGTATAAACACAAAGGGACAACGCAGCCATCATACCACTCAGGAAGGAGATGTGTTCTGTCCCCTAGAGATAAATGTACTTTGGTCCAAACGGTACAAATCAATCACAGAACAACAGTGAAAACACTAGAAGAAACAAGTACCAAAGTATCTATAGTCACAGTAAAACAAGTCCTATATTACAGTTTTTCTGAATTGCTAAAACACGTTTCTTGAAACCACCACTCATTTTCTCAAAACCTTAAACACAAATCCAAATACTCAAACTAAATTCACAAAACCTCTGACTTGTCTGGCAAAATCAAGCAATTGCTTCAAAACCATGTCACCAGCACTCAAAATCAAACAATGCTTTCAGATCATACACAAATGAGTCAATCATATACACACTACAGCTCAGTCATTAGACACTACATCAAAAAAAGGAGAACACAGCATCCAGGACATGTAGTTACAACAAAAAAAGTTTATTGTATAGTGAATTTACCAAAAACCATGTTACGATCAAAATAGAAGAAGAAGAAAAACACATCAGAAAGATTATTCTGCCTCAGGATCACGTCTTTGAGCTGGGCCTGGCCAGAGGGTTTCATCTGTGTTGCAGGCAACGTTGTCCCTTCCCAGGCAACGGGCAAAAAACCCTCTGGTGTGGCAGATCCAGCCTTGACAAGACTGCACGTCTATGTCACTGCAAGCCAGTTCCATTGCCTGTAAGAGATGTTCCCTGGTATATGGGTTTCGGTCATAGACTTTCTACCGCCATGCAGAGAAAAACTCTTCTGTTGGGTTGAGGAAAGTGCTGTATGGAGGAAGGTCTTACTCTTCCTCATCCTTTTTGTCCAACACCTCATATTCCTCTACCTCTCATATTGTTATCCATAGTTGATGGATGTACCCGTGCCATCTGTGCACTTTGAACTGGCTTATGATTTGTACCTTCTCATCACATAATTAGAAACAAGTGTGAACAATTTTCAATCGTTGTGTGTAAACGATGACAACTGTGCTTTAGTTATGTTTAAGTTCTGCTGTCCTCTGTTTAGTGTTTTGCAACACAGGTTCATCACAGTGCGAATTGTGTTTTAGTGAGTGAGAATGTTTAGAGTTTAGCAAAAAGAGTGCATGAGATTTGCTAACAGAGTCTATGTGCCTGAACTTGTTTAAGGTTTTGCAGAAAGAATGATTTATCTGACAAATTGGTTTAGGCTATTGAGAATTTGGTTCAGAGAATGGGGTTTATTGTTTTAGCAATTGTGAAAAACTAACAAAACCTAAAAGGCTGCTCAGCAACGAAGAACCCACTGCTCCAAGACCACCATAAAAAGGCAGACTATGGTTTGTAGCTGTACATAGGGACAAAGATCTTACTTTTTGGAGAAATGTCCTCTGGTCTGATGAAACAAATTGAACTGTTTGGCCATAATGACCATCGTTATGTCTGGATAAAAAAGGGGGAGGCTTGCAAGTTGAAGACCACCATCCCAACCATAAAGCATGGGGGTGGCAGCATCATGTTGTGGGGGTGCTTTGCTGCAGGAGAGACTGGGCCACTTCACACAATATATGGCATCATGAGGAAGGAAGATTATGTGGATATGTTGAAGCAGCATCTCAAGACATCAGTCACGAAGTTAAAGCTTGGTCACAGAAGGTCTTCCAAATGGACAATGACCCCAAACAGACTTACAAAGTTGTGGTAAAATGGCTTAAGGACAACAAAGTCAAGGTGCTGGAGTGGCCATAATAAAGACCTGTCCTCAATCCAATAGGAAATTTTTGGGCAGAACTGAAAAAGGCTGTGGGAGCAAGGAGGCCTACAGACCTGACTCAGTTCCACCAGTTCTGTCTGGAGGAATGGGCTAAAAGTCCAGCAACTTATTGTAAGTTGTTTGTGGAAGGCATCCTGAAACATTTCACTCAAATTAAACAATTTAAAAGTAGTGCTACCAAATACTGAGTGTATGTAAACTTCTGACCCACTGGGAATGTGATGGAAGAAATTAAAGCTGAAATAAATCTTTTTCTCTACTATTATTCTGACATTTCACATTCTTAAAATAAGGTAGTGATCCTAACTGACCTAAGACAGGGAATGTTTATGGGAATAAACTGAGTTTAAATGTATTTGGCTAAAGCACATGCAAACTTCTCACTTCAACTGTATGTTACTTATTGTCCTCTGCATACAGGTGCTGTGAAATGTAGTACCCATGAAAGATGAAAGAATGACACGGTTGAAAGACAAGATTATGAAATATGCGTTATGTTACAAGCATTCAGGCTATGATGTTAAGCCCAATAATTCATATCTTTACATGCAGAATGCTAGAAGCTTAATACTGGTATGGCCTGAATGAACATAATTTGCAGTATATATTTTTGGTATAGTTCAACAAATGTTATTTTCCAGAACTGATTTGTTTCTTTTTTGTTCTCTGAAGGACCAAGAGACCCAGGACATGGAGGACCCAGCTTTAGTAAGTCATATTTTTTCCTTTTTTTTTGCCTTCCTAGCAACAAGACATAACACTCTGCCTATAACAGACATTCATGTGACATCAGTCTGGTAAAAGAAATGCTTTTTTGATTTTAACTAGTGCAGGTGTCTACACTGGCCATGTAAAGTGTCAAAACTGTTTGCCATATTTCTTTAAAATTTGCCATGGATAGTGCTTGTACAAAAGAGATGGATTTTCTTGGCTAGTTAGTATTTTGATTAGAAACTATCCTAGTTTTCAATATACATTTTATTTAGGTATTCATGTATGGAACTCTAAAATGTTCACAATTAAATAATGCTGTTTTCCAATGTACTGTTTATTTAATTATTTTTCAGCAGAATAGCTATGTCTCTCAAGACAACCTCAAGAGAACCAGTTATGTGATTGACTGCTCATTTGTTCAAACATAAGCAACAGCACATTAAGTATCGATGTAGGTCTGGTCTGGAGGTGCAGAGAATACTTCAGTACAGTAGGCTATATGGACCTCAAAATACAAATGCAACTCTGACAACAAAAACAAAACTTGATTGCTTTCAACAGCTGTTTGATAAACTGCTCATACAGTTTCTGTTACTGGCTGATTGTTGCATGATGGAGTGATCCTTTGTGTCCTTTGCTCTCTCTCTGCTCAGCTGTTAGTGTGTGAGAGGAGCACAGCCCCTCTCTCCCCTAAACAAAAACCAACAAACAACAAAAATACCGTGGAAAAGCTGCATCAACCCATGAGGTTATGCCAGGTGATGGTTAAGGGAAGCATGGGGTGTAGCACTTGTTAGTTTCCGACAGTGGAAATGCAACTATAATATGCAGTTGGAACACCAGTGTCCTCACCGACAGACTACTGTACTACTTTAAACAAGAGGATTGGTCAGGTAACGAGCACTCTCTGAAAATGTTTTAACAAATTTCTAAATTGGAACTACTTGGATAGATTGACCACATATTCTCAATCTAAGTGGTTACTTTATTGCCTGAAAAAATATCAGTACTTGTATAAAATGGCATTATACCAGTCCTAAGGATGAAAATGATGACAGTTTTGAGCCTGGTTCAAAATCTCTGCCATCAGACTCTTGCCCAGCTGTTGCTGAATACAGTAGATCTTCCCCCAGCTTAGGGCTATTGTCTAACTGGGCTCCTTCAGTCCCTGTCTCACAGCAGGGCGTACTGAGTGACAACATTTGGTTTCCATTGACAATGAACGGGCAGCTGTCTTTAACCCAGGACTTTGTCTCTATGTGCTTGTGGTGCTCAGCAGCATAGCTGCACACTTTGGCCACAGGGGGGCTCACACAGAGTCAGCAGCCTTTCCAGCACTCTCAGTATTGAAAAATGGTTTAAAAAATTCCCATATCTAAATTATGATATGGCTCATCACCAAATCTAGTCAAATGTTTCATGGGCCATGCCCTACCTTTGCAAAGAATTTCATCAAAATCCATTCATTACCTTTGGAGTTATACTGTTAACAAATAAACCAATAAACGCAAGTTAAAAAAAAAAACCCCCGCCCTTGCCGGAGGTAATAATAAGCTGAAGTTTAAAAATGAATTTATTTTACAGTATCATCAGCATATTATACGATTGTCTATTTATTCAAAGAATATTTTAATAGTGTTTTTTTTATTATTATTTATTTAATTCTGAATTCTTTAGAGTTCCATATTCCCTAACATTGTCATTATTTTAGGTGAGATGTCCAGTGTTGTGATTTGCTCTTGTTGCTCTCTTTCTATTATCTTCCAATAGTGCAAGACCAGGATAACTCTGATAATAACACCATCTTTGTACAAGGCCTGGGAGATGACTATACTGTTGAATCAGTGGCTGACTTTTTTAAGCAGATTGGCATCATTAAGGTATCTCTCCAGTGCTGAGTTTATGGCTGTCAGCCATTAATTGCTGCTTGGATTTGAATCATTGAAATATATACATGTATTTACTTATGTAATATACAGTATTTAGAGTGTGAATTAACTTGAAAGATGGAAATTTGTTAAATACAAGTTTGAATTTCAGAGTTTGACACTGTTCAGCAACACCCATTGTTGAATTTTAACACTTTGAGGCTCACATTCACTGAAAAAAATTATTTAAAATATATTTGTGGTTGTACTGCAGTGAATTTCAGATCGAAATTAAACAGACAGTATGTCCAGGGATGAGGGAGAAAACTAATGAACACAGATTTTAATAAGTGAAATTTGTAATTGTTTGCTTTTCCTTGTCATGAAGATATCACATGTACTTCAAAAATTGGTGTAAAATTTCATCTTTTGACTTATAAATTAAATTCTGGTCTACAACTAAATATTTGACAACTTTTGGCAACTGGATCTTTCATTTTTGTGTCTATGTTTTGTCCCATCATGGGACATAATGCAACATTCATTTGTTCCTGTTTCTTCCTTCTGTCTTTCCTTAGGTCAACAAGAAAACAGGCCTGCCCATGATAAATCTCTACACAGACAGAGAGACAGGGAAGCTGAAGGGTGAGGCCACAGTTTCCTTTGATGACCCCCCTTCAGCTAAGGCTGCGATCGACTGGTTTGATGGTAAGTTGTTTATCTTCAAGTCATCAGGGCTCATCCAAATTCAGCGTTGGCACATTGACCTCTTAAAAACATCAGGTTGCCAAGAAGGTTGCACGTAATTAGGAATGAATGGAAACAGGTTGAAATATGTGTGGTAATGAAACACACTGTGCGCAGGGATGGTCAGCAGAAAAGTGGACTGTGCTGCAGGAGTGGAGGGAGTAGTTTCTTTATAAACATTTTGATTGAAATCTGCTGTAACTGACATGAATCGAAGCTCACCACAGCTGATGTGCATACTACAAATGCACATAACTACAAATGTCTTTTATGTTTCAGTTTTTTTATTATGTTAAATTCTGTGCTTGTTTCATTTCTCAGCTTTATCTATTTGTAATTTAATGTGCATGTATTTGTTACCTCAGCTCAATTCCTGATGACCTTTGATATTTATTTTCCCTCACCAGGTAAGGACTTCAATGGAAATCCTATCAAGGTGTCATTTGCCACCCGCAGAGCTGACTTTGGAGGCCGAGGTGGTATGAGGGGAGGGCGGGGACGAGGGGGTGAGCCCTTTTTTTTTTTTTATGCAAGTTCGTTTGTATAGTTAAACATATTGCAATGACAGTAGCAGATGTTCTTTAGAAGTACTGTTATCTCATTTGAAACAAATTGAGACTAAAAGTCCATGTTGACCCTCATAATTAACAAAACGATTTCACCATAAGGTCCAAGTTGGAGCTGTTCAGTAACAGAAAGGCACAAACTCTTCATAATTTCAGGGAAGACATTACCATTCAATACGGGAGTTTTCTGCCAGTTTTCTGCTTCGCTCTTCTGTATAAATGGTCTAGTACCGGCCAGGTGGAGTCAATGTTGACCCTCCAAAATGCTGCCATGAGTGGTAGTATTTTTGCTGAGATGCGTTCTCCCCACCTCCTGTATAAATGGAATGAGACAAAATGGGGGTTGAAGAGAGAGAGAGAGAGAGAAAGAGAGAGCGAGAGAGAGCAGCAGTGGTCAAGAGAGCTAGAGAGTGAATGAGGAGAGGGAGTGGTGTCGGATGCCATGCCAAGCCTCTAGGATTCCGGCTGTGTAAAATGAACACATGGGTGGCAGTTTACAGACTTTTTGAGTTTAGTGTAAATCAGAAACGTTACCTTGAAGACGGGTCAACACTATGGCAGTTTGCTATGATCTTTATACAAAAAGGGCTACTGACAGGAGAGCTGACTGGATCGTTGTTTTGCTGTGTGAAGGGCCAATGGGTCGTGGAGGATTTGGAGGGGGTCGAGGTGGAGGTTTCCCAGGAGGCAATGGTGGAGGAGGAGGAGGAGGAGGAGGAGGAGGAGGACAGCAGAGAGCAGGAGACTGGAAGTGTTCAAACCTGTGAGTTAGATTTGGTGATTTCACTTATCAGTTTCGGTGGAAATTTGGATATTAAGATTTTGTTCAATGGTTGTGTTTCTGCACATTTTTATTCTACAAAATAATCAAAAAGGAAATACTGTCTAAAATTATCACTAATTTTATTTTGTAATTATGCATTGATTACTGTCTTTTCTGCACAATCCTCTTCAGCAACTGTGGTAACTTGAATTTCTCATGGCGTAATGAGTGTAATCAGTGCAAGGCTCCTAAACCTGAAGATGCTGGTGGGATGCCCCCAATGGAAAGAGGTTAGAGACAGTTTTCCATTTTTATATTTTATACTGCTTGACATGAAAAGCACATCATGGGTAGAAGGTATCGATAAGGGTACTAGAATGAAAATATGTTTATTTACACTTAATTTTTGTGTTTTGGTTTAATTTGTCCAAGCAGTTTTTATTGGATCTACTTTCTAATTTAAAATGGAAAATACTTTATTAGGTACACCTGTACAATTCTATGCTATTCAATGCATCACATCTGCCTTAACATCTATTTATGAAGTTCATATGTTTCAGTTTTTGGTGAAATTGTCATAAATGTATTGATTCAATGATATGTTTCTAGAAAGACATAACGCTCTTGAGTTCAATTCTGTCAATTTTGTTAAAGCTGCAAATTAAATTCCATTCATCAACTTTGAAATCTACATTTCAGGTTTTTGTTAGTTATGAATTATGTTAATTAGCGGATTAGCAATAAATAAATGACAAAACCAGGTTTTAACAGGAATTATGTTCACCATTAGTTTCTGTGGCGGTATTATGTTTTCAGGTTGCCTGTCCATCTGTTTGTCCATCCGATTTTTGTGATTGATATACAGTATGTCAGGAATACCTAGAGGCAATTTTGTCAAATTTGGCACGTCTGAGTGTTTACGGGCTGGTATCGGTGAGAGTCATTACCTGTCTTTGAACCCTCACATGTGGACCAACGCCTATTGTCCTGGAGTGAATTGGGGTGGAACTGTTTGGATAGAGATTTCACAACAAGAGTTGTAGATGGATGACAAGTTGTGTCTGAGTCCACCACCCCTCTCTCAAACCAGTGGTGAGAGAGGAGTCAAAGAAGCAATTTTTTATGAGAGGTGAAACGTCTTCTACCTAAAACTATGTCCAGATGCTTTCTTCTAAGTTTTTTTCAGCATACTATGGCCTGGATGACTGAGAATTTGCATGGACATGTTGCTAGGAGATTTTTTTTTTTGTGTAACTCCATAATGAGAAATGTTTTAAATGCATCAGTGCTATTTCATTTGAAGTTCAGTCATATGGTCTGCTCCGAATAAGAAAGATGTTAATATACTACAACGTGGCTGATTATCAATTAAGAAATTTCCTTGAAATATGCATCCCTACCAGGAAGACTAGCAACCATTGTTGTGGAAGATAATGGATATCCAGATAAATAAGCATAAAATTTCAAATCAAATTCCTCTGTTAAATCACCTCTTTAGGATGGAGGATCTCCATAAAGACCGTAAAAAATGGAGAATGATTTTTAGAACTGATTGTACCCTCAGGCAGGGGTCTCCAGCTGTTTCAACCACTCACTTTGTTCCATGATGATACCAGGCCATTTGAGTTTTGGAACTGCCTGTCTGAGGATCTCAGGCCAGCCAAATCTATAGCTTCTTTTTGCATCTGTATTCCTGTTTTGGTTTTTATTATTCTTATTCTTATTAATAATTTACTCACCAACCCAGCTGCTAACATTTACAAGAGACAAATTCACATTGCTAAACCTCAAAATGAGAACAAAGATTACACCATTCTAAATGTCAATTATAATCAGTGATTCATTATTCTGTAACATTTTGTGCTCTAGTTAAGTAGAGCAGGTCAAAACTAGCTATGATATAACAGAAAATATTTTATTACTGTGAATCAGCATTGATGGGTTTAAAATTTTTGATAAAATACTGTAAATGGAAGAGACCTCAGGGATCCCTCTTCCAGGACAGACAGAGTTGCAATAGATGCCGTGTGTGCAGAAAGTGCCAGGGTGAATTCTGACCCTAGGGTCAAACTTACTAAAGGCTGACACACTGTGTCATCAGTTTCCAGATCTGTCACCAAATTGCTTGCTCTGTTGTCAGGCGGTTATGCAGGAGAGCGCAGAGGGGGGTTTGACCGGGGTGGCTTCAGGGGCCGAGGTGGTGACCGTGGGAGCTTCAGAGGGAGCCGAGGAGGTGACCGGGGAGGATATGGACCTGGCAAAATGGACACAAGGTCAGATTTACTCAAACAAACCGCACTCTCTGGTACAAAACCATCTCAGTGTCGAGGTTTGAATCTTTATTTGGTTCAAAACAAGTTTTCACACAGACTCCTCACCCTTTACACAATTTGTATTATGGTTTTACTCATAGTTACTTTCAAACTGATTAACATTACTTAACAAACTCACTTCCCTGACCAAAGGTCCTTCTGTCCTGGTTAGTAAGTCTAACTGTGTTTTCAGTGTGGCAACCTAACGAGGGGTGCATGCTGTACTTCCCTGAACCGTCACCCAACATAACCTCATTTGCTGAAATGGACCTTCCTGCTTTTATTTTTTATTTGATTTTTTTTTTTTTTTTTTTTTGCTGTGTCAGTCTCTGTTTAGAGGAGAGAGGGGCTGCAGTCCTCTCAAACACACACACAGCTGAGCAGAGGAAGCAGAGGGTGTAAAGGATCACTCCATACTGCAACAATCAGCCAGTAACAGAATGTATGAGCAGTTTATCAAACAGCTGTTGAACAAGCAGACCACAAACTTACAGAATGTGACGTGTTCATCACTTTTCCCTCGGTCCACTCACTGAAGTCTTCATTTTATCTCTTAAACAACATGTAAAGTCTGCATTTTACCTGTAAACCAGTGAGTGTGATTAACACACTGTTCTTATAATGCTAATAGTAAAGTGTGAAGATGCTGACATTTTACCAGTGATGGTGACAGCACTATGTGGGTGCACTACCTTCTTACTCATGTTACTGGAACTTGATTTTAGTATTACGTCCTGAGGGGTGCCAAAATATAGCTCCTGGAACGCACCTCTAAAGGTTGAGGGCAGTGGAAACAAACACAGAATGAGCGTTACACTGCCCGACATGTTTCAGTAGGTTCCCTTGGTGGGAAGAACCCTGGATGACTAGCTTTGGGAACAGTCGAAGGTCCAGATTTACTTAACTCTTACTTCACTAATAAAAATTTAGGTATGTACAAAAACAGTATTATGACCCTTTTGACCAAATACTGTATAAAGCAGTGCATATGCATGATTGTGTTGTATAACTGGGCACATGAACATGCGCTCAATTTCCACTTCTATATTTAGCCATAAATGAGTATTGACATACCCTTACCCACCTGCTTGGACATGAGTGGTTTTGCCTGCTTTATTACCAGGGCTATCAATGAAAAGAAGTGTAATTACACTTGTCCACATTGGAATGGTTCTTCAACAGCTACCAAACTATCTGTCAAACAGTACATACAGGTGTGCCTTGTGATGACTTTCAGATCATCAGCAGTGAGCTGGAAACTTAAGCATCTGAGGGTCACTACCAAAATCTTCTTTGTGTATCTTTGAGTCAGAGGCTCTGATGTCTTTTCTCCAACAAAATGTCTCAAAGTGCATTAACTAGGCTGGTTTTGTGTAATAAGAAGTCTGCTGAATACAGATTTTGTTCCCTACTGTGACATAAGTGAGGGTTTGAATATTTCTTCCATTGCTTGGAGGATCTGACAGGTCGATACCTGAATACATAGAATTTAATATCAGTTCCATACATCAACATATGATGTGTAAACTTCTTATTGTTCATACACACACCTGTTCATTCTATAGCCTATACATGACTCATGGGTTGGATGCTGGTGATGTAATTAGTATGTTGTTATTTCCAGGGGTGAGCGAAGGCAGGAGCGACGGGGTCATCCCTACTAAATCATTCTTCAAGAACAAAGACTCACCCCTCTTCCCACCTCAATACAAAGACCAGTGTGTGTAACCCTATTTATACTGGGGCCACTCCACACCTTTCTCCATTTTATAACTCTGTCAACTTCGATCCTATTGATTCTGCATGTAGAAAAATGTTAGTTATTAGTACTAGTTTTTGTGTTTGCTCTTGTTCACATCACTTTGTTCACATCCATCACATGCCCTTCTTCTGCTCACTGGTGCTTCATTTAGAAAATCTAATTCAGAATCATTTTCCATCTTAAGGACTTTTTTTTTTTTACAAGCCAAGTCTGATTTTTGTAGTTTTGGTCATCAGTCCATTTCAAACAAGTTGAGTGTAACGATATAATCTAAATCACTTATACCTCTGCAGGGAGGTTATGTTTTCAGTTCTGTTTCCAACAGATGTAAATTTTGTGGAAATGTATGTGTTTGTCCTTCCTTAGACTATTTTTGGTAGGAACTAATCACTGCAGACCAGGAACACCCAACAAGACCTGCAGTGTGGGAGATACTCTGACTAGATTTGTGATCCATCTCATTTGGCCCTTGTCAAAGTCACTCGGATATGGTCAAAATGTTATGGCTGATTGTTGTGATTTTGTTTTTCTCCTAGGCTCTTCCTGTAAATATCAGAGCTACTGACATAGCTAGCTTTGTTCTGCTCTACTTAACTAGAGCACAAAATGTTACAGAATAATGAATCACTGAATATAATTGACATTTACAACAGTGTAATCTTTGTTCCCATTTAGAAGTTTGGCAACCTGGGTTTGTAAAAACCTGTCTGATAGCTCTTGTAAATGTCAGCAGTTTAGTTGGTGAGTAAACTGTTAATAAGAATAATAAAAACCAAAACAGGAACACAGACGTACAATTTAAGAAGAAGCTACAGATTTGGCAATTTTGGCCTGAGATCCTCGGGCAGGGAGTTCCAAAACTCAAATGGCCTGGTATCTTTATGGAACAAAGTGAGCGCAATCAGATCTAAAACTGGCAGGGGGCCAATATGTGATCAATATTAGATAATAAATAAGTATGGATTGTAGATGAGCTGCCACCATCAATTCTGTCATCATATGTAATCTTCATTAATCAAATGAAACCCTGAGTCTCATAAAGTCCAGTTACACCTTGAACTATCTGTTTCCAAATATTTTTCTCAACATATGACATGGGAATAAAACTCACATTTGTAAATAATCAGAATCAGAATCTGCTTTATTGGGCAGGTGTGTCGGACACACGAGGAATTTGACTGTGGTACATCGGCTCTCAATGTGTATATACATATCCCCATGCAAGGGGCAGGTAAACAGTAGATCAGCGTAAGGCTGTATACCAAAAAAATAGGCAGGGCGCCCTGTCTCTGCAGTTGTATTTAAGAAGCTTTTGTTCAGATTGAATTCTTACTTCTGTATTTATATTGTATGGGTTGTTTTTCTATTGTGCTTGTACAATACTGGTTTTTACATGAATGTGCTGATAAAGCCAAGCGTTTGAGTCAGTAGATTCTTTGATTTCTTAATGGATGCCAAATTTATTTTGTGACCTCTAGAAAATGTGTGACTGATTTATGTTGCTGGCATGGTTTCCTTTTCTGCAGCATTTGGCTGGCCTGAGGCACTTGATAAACTTGTTTATTTGGCTGCCACACCTGTTTAGTTTACAAATGAAACTTAGTTATAGCATAACATTTTCTATATTTTTCATAATCTAATGTGCACTAGATGATTTATCCCAAAAGAATGTCTGTCATTCTCCATTTTATTATGGTTTTGAAGGCTATGTTTCATCCTAAAGAACAACAACAAACCGTTTGATTTGAAATATAAAGTAGTTTGATTAGGAATATTTTAACTGGAACAGGTGTCACAAATTGTTATCCATCAGCATCCTTCTTGTCAGATGATATTTTATATTTCTCTGGCTTGTGAAATCATCCATCAGAGCAACTCAGTCTGGTATCCTTTGGGCTGTCCAGACGATGCTCCTTTGGGTATCCTTTGGGCTGTCCAGACGATGCACCGTCAGGGCCACATCCTTTAAAGTTTTTAGTCCCTGAACTGGGATGCAGCTAGTGTATAGTAGCTAAGCTACCATGCAGTGTTGCCATATGAAATACAGTATGTCCAGTAGTCTTTAAAACAGTCCAACATCTTATTTCCATTTACCTTAGTCTCCATCATAATAATAGGTGTCATATGAGGAGGGGTCAGTACAATATAGCCAATACAGTATAGCCTAACTTTTCATTGGGCGAAACTGCCCAAATGGGGCAAGAAGTTGCTCAAATGTTCACAAATCCAATTTTTACTTGCTCAGTTAAATAAAAAGTATCTTGGTGGATCTGTCAACAGTAGCTGCACATGTTTTAACTGTGGTCTGTGCAGCAACTTCAGCAGCTATGAAACTATGAAACTCCACACATGTTGCACCTTGGCTCCTTGATTGCACACAACCTGCAAACATGAACCCAGGATGACAGCGCGGCTCAGTGACGTTTTCTGTCAGTAAAAACCCTGAGACACCTGTTTAGGAGGGTTTCTAGCACCGCAGGCACTGTATTGTGTGAAGGCATTAATGTGTAATTACTATTACAATGCTCTAAATATAAATAGTACATTGCACTGATGTTCTGGTACCAAGACGTGGAGCGGATACTGTCAATAAAGCTGAAACATACATTGATTAATCAGTTAATCAATCAACAGAAATCTGCTGTTATCTTGAAAAGTGCTTAATTAGGTTCAAATCAGGTTTCAAATCATTTTTTAAGAAAAAAATTTAAGCATTCTCTAGTTCTGCTTTCTCAGGATTTTCTGCTTTTATGGTTTGATAATTTGAACATCAATAAAATAAATAATTTGAAAACAGCACTTCTGGACTCAGGATGTTTCAAAGACCAAACAATTGATATGCCTGAATATACTTTTTAAAACTGAGTTATACACTTGTTATTGTTCTTCTCATGAGATACTAGTGTAAAATTTAGAACTTAGGTTTCGGTGTAGATTTTTAGCACTACTCAACATTAATTGTTGTTACAATTAGTTTTTGTGTTCTTTATCTCTTAATCAAAAAGGGAAAAAAAGTTGCCTTGAAGTCATTTCCCGGTGCTGGGCAGACTTTGCCAAAATGCCTTTGTACATCTTCATACCTGCACTTAAGCCTGTAGCACTACCTGTGTCCTACGGCCAATGGTGTAAAGTCCCTTGTTGAGCTCTTTGTCTATAACTGGTAGATCCAGTTTGAGAAACATCACACATCCACTGATCAGGCATAACATTATGACCGCTACATCCACTAATCAGGCATAACATTATGACTGCCTGCCTAATATTATTTCCATAGGAGTCAATGTGGCAGTTGGTTGGCACTTGTGTCACTCTGCAGCTCACTGTGCATCTTCTGTGAATCCATTTACTTCCACAGTTAAACTGTCAGGAAGAGCAAAGATATGTCTACAACTCAGTGAAAAACTTAAGTAAAAGGAATGAAAACTGTGGTTGTGAGGACGAGTTAGAGGTTTAGACAAA